ATATATATATATATATCAAATGACAATATATATATCAAATGACAATATATATATAATGAATACAAATATAAATTTTGTCACTTAGCTGATCGATGTTATATTCACCACCACAACTCCAGTAGGCATAGAATGGGGCTCCCTAATATTCTAATATTCTAGTGATGAGAATAGGTTCCGGTTTTCTGCAAGTGATAATAGTATTGGAAGTACAGTGTTGTTCGATAAAAGTGACTCACCTGATTTTTTTTACTAAATGTTCTCTTCTCCGATGAAACGAAAGTTGAGCTAAATTTAAAGGATAAGCGATCTAAAATCTGAAAAAGAAGATTTGAAAGCTCTTGGAAGTTATCAGTAAGTACTGTCAAGTATCCATCCGTTCAGTATAATGTTCTGGGTATGCTTTTCTTTTCATGGAACTGGTTTCTTAAAATCTATTGAAAAGACCCTCAGGAGCGAGAATTTTAGAGTCTTGTCTGCTCCCTTCTGCTGAAAGGGTGAAAATCGACCCCACCAAGTTTATTTTTATGCAGGATAATGCTCCCTGTCACAAATCAAAATTGATGAAGGAGTACTTTGATGAGAAGCAGGTGAATGTTATGACATGGGCGCCCCAATCTCCTGACCTCAACCCCATAGAAAACTTATGGATCATGTTGCTCAACTGCTTTCTCGAGAGCCTGAAATTTATAATGCTCCTTAAGTTTTCTATGGGGTTGAGGTCAGGAGATTTTTTTATATATAGGAAAAGAAGAGGAAGAAGCAGAAGAATCAATATTCGCAAGAGATCACGTGATGAAACGTAAACAAAACAATGGTTTCCTTTTTAGGGGACGTATGTAGAAAAATACGATATAGAATTGGTTTTGTGATTTCGTTTATTCTGAATTTCTAAGGATACAGTAACAAGATTTCCAATAACATCATCTTTATACAATCAATAAACAGTCGTCTTATACTACAGGTATAGGATAAATTGATGAAAATTTTCTATATATTTTTTTTACCTAGTTTTATCTAAAGGTCACCTTATAGGCTGAAATATACGGTATATTCAGTGTTGAAATTTTATTTTCTGTCTATGTATTTTAAAGGTGTTATTTCTTTTATACATTTTCTATATTATACTGAAAATACTACCTACTTTTCTATAATTTAATCACTAATATCATTCATAACATTAATCACGTTATCTAATTAGCAACATGAACCCAGATAACAACTGTCTGTTGGCGCCATGAATAAAAAAAAGACACCTAATCAAGTCGTGATTTAAATCCTGGAGTCAAGCGGTGCATAAATATACACAAGCTCAGTGAAGAGACGAAAATGAAGAGGCTTTACCAAGGAACGTTGGTTTGGGTTGGTTTGGTAAATTTTATGATAATATCATCAATTTGGGGGTTATTTAACGCCGGCATTTGTTATTATACTTGATTCCATGGGCAAACATGGATCGGCTTTATACTGGAATCCATAAACAAACATTGGTTTGGTTTATACTTGAGTTCATTAAACATAATTCAGGCTTATACTTGAACCCATAAGCAAACATACACTTGATTCTATAGGCTATCATTGGTCGGGTTTATGTTTGAGTCTGTAGACAAACATTGGTCGGGTTTACACTTACGTTCATATGTAAACATAATTGAGGCTTATACTTGAGTACGTAGTCCAACGTTAGTCAGGGATATCCTGGGGCCCATAAACAAACATTGGTCGGGTTTATATTTGAGTTCATTAAACATAATTCAGGTTTATTCTTGAGTCCATTAGCCAATATTGGTCGGGTTTATACTTGAGGCAATATGCCAATATTATTTGGATTTATACTTGAGTCTGTAGGCAAACATTGGTCGGGTTTACACTTACGTTCATATGTAAACATAATTGAGGCTTATACTTGAGTACGTAGTCCAACATTAGTCAGGGATATCCTGGGGTCCATAAACAAACATTGGTCGGGTTTATATTTGAGTTCATTAAACATAATTCAGGTTTATTCTTGAGTCCATTAGCCAATATTGGTCGGGTTTATACTTGAGGCAATATGCCAATATTATTTGGATTTATACTTGAGTCTGTAGGCAAACATTGGTCGGGTTTACACTTACGTTCATATGTAAACATAATTGAGGCTTATACTTGAGTACGTAGTCCAACGTTAGTCAGGGATATCCTGGGGTCCATAAACAAACATTGGTCGGGTTTATATTTGAGTTCATTAAACATAATTCAGGTTTATTCTTGAGTCCATTAGCCAATATTGGTCGGGTTTATACTTGAGGCAATATGCCAATATTATTTGGATTTATACTTGAGTCTGTAGGCAAACATTGGTCGGATTTATAGTTGGGTCTATAGACAAACATTTGTCCGGTCTATACTTAAGTTTATATGTAGACAATTCAGGTTTAGTTTTTACATAGGACAAACTTGATCGGTCATATACTGGAATCTCTTGACAAACATTGTTAGGTTTATACTTAGGTTCGTAAGTAAACAATATACTTGGGTATATAGACTAACATTTGTCGGATTTATACTTGAGACAATAGGCAAATATTGGTCAGGTTTATAGCTGGGTCTGCAAGCATTCATATATTTTGGTGTCTCATTATTTTGCAGTAGATAGAATAGATGTTGGTTAGGCCCTGATCTGAGGGAAGATTAAGGACCCTGGAGGGGATACGTTTTGTATTGAGAAGAGTATCCGTTCGTGGATCAATTCAATGTTCTGTTCAACATCATAATAATGTTGCCTTAAGAAATTCACAGGATATATAGGTCTAAACCTTCTGATAAAAATGACAAAGATGATGAAATGTGTACGAATATAATAATATATAATACAAAAATTAATTACATTTAACAAAAAAATGAGCAGAGAATTTAAGGATTTTGCATTTACTTTTTTTTCTTGCGTAAAAATAAAACAATATTTATATACTATATTAGCAGAATAGTATTACGAAACCTACTAAGATCACACCAAACTTTCATTTACTTCTGTTCTTTTTATGGTTTATCGATCTGCATAATCGATTTGTGATATGTGACATCATTTCACAGGATAAACGAAAATTAGTTTTGGCCGCTAGAAACAAATTCAATTACCAATGTGGGATTGATATCTGCATCAATGACGGCTGAGTTAGCAATATCCATAACGGCTATGCCATTCCCACACTTTAATTGAGAATGTCGATCTTGGAGGAAGCTTTTCAGATTTCTCCCACTGTCAGGCACAAGAAATAAACAAACACATAAATATCTATTCCCGATTCTTAACCAAATCTCAAACGGTAGTTTGTCAGTCATTGCTACAAAGAACGTGAATTACGAGGATGGTAATTTTAATATTAACCATTTCTTTATAAGGAAACATTCAGCAAGTGAACATTAAGCGCTACTTTCGGTTGAAATTTATAAAATCTTTTTCTTAATTTTTTATTCAGGAAAATAGGTTTCTTAAGTCCATTAATTGTTATCGTTCGTTTCAATATTTACTGAAGTTTCCTTTCTAATCTTTTATTTGAAGTTGTGTGTAATGTCAACATCTTGATTATGTCATAATTTTCTCTTCCAGTTGCATCTAGTCCTCAAGTGATGTAGTTTTTGTTATTTGGTACAGACATTTGTTTGTGATTCTGTAGCGCCAGTCTCAAGATTCGTATAAGTGTAGTCTTCACCAAGATCTATAGACTTCACTTGCTCAAGGCCATTTTTATATTAAGGGGAACAGAAATAAAAACAGTTAATAATGGGATAAACTTTTATTTTACAATTTTGGAAATAACTACCTAAAATAGAATTATGTGACCTGACCTGTTTTTTGGCTGCCAATTGCGTACTTGTCACGGGCGTCTGTTCATATTTTCAGTTCAGGCATAAGTGAAGATTACGATTGCTAATTTTCACATCAGACATACAATTCCGTCTAACGTTTCCGAAATATGTAACTCTTTCTCGGATCTTTTATCTTTACAAGAACCGCCAATGGAGTAGTTCCAACATTTATTCTGCTTAATCCGTAATTTCCAGCCTCGATGCTGTCTTTTGGGAGAAGACATATTTTTTATTGAGCAGACTCGATCTCACAGATGCAACGTCGCAAATCTATCGCTACTCTGTTTTTATTTTTCATGGCAAATATTCAGATGAGCTCCATTCTGTTAGTTCTAACAGTTCAGACCTTTACTGCCATAGCATATGCTATGCTACTTCCACGGAGGCGAATCACCCACATTTCCCCCGTTTTCCAAATATAAAGAAACATTTCTCACACATAGCTTGAACATCTACTTTGTGAAACAGACTCTTGCACAACGCTTCATTGAACATTTCAATCTTAACCTTCCCATGTCGAGGGTCAAGCGTTATCTATCCTCCTTATCCTGATAATGTACACTTTCTACTACCTACTCGTCCATTCATGTCACATACCTCATTCATCATCAGCATTTCAACTGTAAACTGATAAACGCATGGTTACCTAGCCTTGTATTGAATAAAATTTAATATACAAAAGAAAAAAAGATAGAGGAAAAATAAAAACAAAAAAATGTTCCGTCTTCACTTCGAAGGCCGGTGTTGGACACTCTTTCTAACTGGAATTGACTGGCCTTAGGAAGTCAAGCTTAATAAATCGGAATATTTGATTATACGAGGTACGATTCGGAAATAAATCGGAAAATTTGCAAATTGATCATTTTGATAGTCTGTGAAGTGACCCAGTGGTTCTCTTGTCTTTTCAGAGTATTTACTCATCTCCCAAAACATCTCATCCGGGAAATAACCTTTTAAATAGTTTTCTTTCTTTGAGGAGGTAATTTCATACCTTTCTCGAACTTTGGGTAGCACCATGTGTAATAATATATAGACTTTTAGATAGATTGCAGACATTTTGGGTAAATGTGCTGTTATAATGTTTCAGAAGGTTTTTTGATTTTACATTATCTATTTAATTATCTATTTCAGTCTACTCATATCCCTCCGAGCCTATTCATATCTATCTATCTATCTATCTATCTAGCTGGCTAGCTAGCTCAATCAGTTCACAGCTAGCTAGCTATTTATCTATCTGTTAATATCAATCTGTCTATCTAGCGGGTTTGAAAGGAAGAGGAACAAAGGGAAAGAATGAAAGAAACATCATGTGAAAAAGACGGACACAGTATGTACAAATAAGAAAAGGGAAATGAGTAGTAGAAAAAAAAAAGTAAGGGTAATATGCGAGAGAAAAAGAGAAAGAGACCGTGAAAGGTACGTGTAAAATAATTTTTTTAAAAATCGATGAATGTAGAAAATATGAATAATTTTGTTATTTAAACTTTCTGTATTCACAAACGAAAAAATTACTTGTTTCTTTTAAGTTAATGAAGTGATAATTGCTTTCCTCTTAAGAAAAACAGACGTCTTCAAATATTCTGGAAGTTTACATTGAGGAGTTTGATTTATCTCCCTTTTTTATTTCCGGTTTCTTTTCACCTTTTCTTCTCGTTATAGCACTTTATTGTAAAGACAACTAACAACGTTCTAGTTACAAAACCGTAAAAACTGTTTTATACCTTCAGTTTAAAGTATCCATGAATTGATTAAAAAGTGGTAGATGCTGCTCCTTCTTGCAAATCATAGATTTATATGGATTGAAAAGAGAACGAACAAAGAAGAATGGTGCTTACTATCTATTGATGGACTAAGAGGTACACCGAGTTGAAAAGCGCATTAAACTATAACCTATTTCGAAGATAAAAAAAAACCCAAGAATTCTAATACCGGGAAAATAAACAAAACCGTCATCTAATTGTCAGCAGTTTTTTCTCTCTCAAAAAACGTGTAACCAAGATGCTGTAAAAGTCAAGAAGGTTAGTAAAAGATATTTTTTCTGAAAGCGCAATGATTAAAATCCTCTTCCTACGCATGTTAAAAAAAGAATAAAAATTACCAAAAAAATTGCAGATTTTAATCAGATTTCAAATGTTTAAAAAACATTTCCTTGGCTCAAAAATTAAAAATTAACATTTAATTGCATTTAAAACTCACTGATTCTAATTCAGTTCATTTTTGTTTTTCATCGTTTGAATATTGTAAAAATATCTTTAACTATTTCACTTATTTCTAAATATTACCACTTGTATTTTAACTGTTTTGCTTTTTCCAACACCTGGATGTTTAGCTGGGCCTGGGGGGAGACTTATTTCAAGAGGTGGAAGAAGAACTGCACTCAAAGTTCCTTGGAGCAAAAGAAATGAGATAAAGCGGAAATAAAATAAAAATGTAGAAATCAATGGAAGCAGCAACGACAAACTAAATAAGGAAATAAAATAAAAAACAAAACAAATGGCGTCCCCTAAGAACATATAAATGACCTTGGATGCAAAATACTCAAATGGATTTTGATAAAGCCTTCATGAAAGAATGACAAGCACACCTACAAAGAAGTCAAATAAAAAAAATGAATAAATGTATTTTCAAATGAAACTTCAAAATCAACACGGATGTAAACTAAAGAAACATATACTAATGAAAGAAAACAATTGATCTGCACAACAAAAATGGTAGTCCTTGAAATGAACGAAAATACGAAACTGAGGAAACATCACTAGTTATTATATTTTTTTTTTCGAGAAAATCCCTGAAAATTGCTGACAGGAAAGAAATAAGTAAAAAGGTAAATTGGCCCGCGATGTCGAAGCTGCTAATGTGTTTTTTCTTCCTTCAAATAAACTACCTCATATCGTCACATATAAAACGTGTTTCTCAGCCCTACAAGATGCAGCAGAACCTTTTTTTTCTTCAAAATTTCGATTTAGTTGTTTTCTTCGTTTGTTGTTAGTTTTTCCTACACAAGAAGAATATAATACTAACGAAAACAACGTTATACAGAAAAGAATTAAAGAAACAATTGTGTAAGACAAAATGCTTGTAAAAATAGCAATTACGAATCTAGTCAAGCGATATAGTTCTATGAGATAAAAGGAACAAGTTAAAGTTGGAAGAAGAAGCAAAGAGGAAAGAATGAGGAGGATGAAGACGAAATTATTAAAACACAGAAGAATGCAAACGTTGAAGGAGTAATGGAGAAAGATAATGATGAAAAGAGAGAACGATCGAAAAATCTACGATAGCAACGAATATTCAGTCAAAGAAAGATTATTAAAGTGATAGAAACGCCAATGAAATGTTAGCTGTTTCCTTATAAAGAAACATTTAGCATTTATTGAGCGAGCAAACAATGCTAATGGTTAAAATTTACAACGTCTATTTAAACAATTCTTTAGGAAAATAGGTTTCTCAAGTCCAGTAACTATTATCGCTCTTTTATTATGGCTTTCTTCTTAACCTTTTGCTTGAAATGGTGTGAAAAATCAACATCGTTATGTTATTATTTTCTCTTCGAATTACATGTGCTATTTATTTTAGTTATTGCTGCTATGGAAAATCCTAAAGGGATGTGATTTTTATTATTTACTACAGTTCTTTGTGATTCTGTAGCGCCAGTTCATGCTATTCAAAGAAAGATGATTCTCGTTAAGACCACGCTAGAAGCCATTTTTAGCTATTGAGCTGACAGTTTAGAGATTTTTAAGCAAACATAGAAGCTGAAATAAAACTGAACAAAAAAAAAAGAATGTGTTTTTTTTTGCTATCACCAAAATACGCGACAAGAAAATGGAAATAAATAAGAAAGTGAGTGGGGGGGGAAAATCAAAGAAAAATAGAAAGTAAAGAGACATACACACAGTGGGAGAGAAGTAGTAAAGAGTCGAAATAAACAAAATAAAAAGAGGAAGAGTGCCTAGGGTTCTTAGTATAGTATGGAGCGCTGAAAGCTATGTTCTTGTTGGAAGTAGTAAGAACATTATTTTACAAAGAAACTTTGACCGTTGGTAGACAGAAACGATTTGAAATTAAATTAGGATTCTCAAAACAGTGTTTTATTTTATTCTTCATCAGGAGATTACTAGGTCATTCACTTTTACAAGCAAACTTGTGAGATTATATATATATATATATGAGGTGGGGGAACTGGGACTCCGGCTAAAAACCAAAGGTACCTTTGGTCCATATTAGAAAACGGCAATGGTAATTTTGAAGCGATAACTTTGAATTCGCCTATTCACTCCATGGAACTACAAAACGTCACTGACTAAAAGACCGATTTGGACCGAAAATCTGATTTGGGCGGATTACTTCAACCAACGCTTTTATCAATGGGTCATATGTCCTTGGTAATCCAGTGACTTAATCCAAAGAGTTGTGAGTTCAATACCTGCCCACAGCAGAGGTGGACAAAAACTTACAGAGTTGAGTTACTGAAGAGAAATAACTGAACTGAGGTATTAAGAAAAAGCATGGCGTCTGGAACTAGCCCAATCTACCCCAATAGACCAAGTAAAGGATTTGATTTGCACCTGAAAAAGACCGGAGCGTACAACAGTTGAAACATCGTGAATATGACAACAAAGATGAGGGCAACATTCCGAACAATGTAAACATTGTAAATAGATACAATACCTCATCACGGAAATATAGACATGCATATGTGTGTATATATGTGTTTGTTCATGCATGTATGTTTTGTATTCATATAAGTATTAACATGTACGTGTGACTCGACATTGAACTCTTTTACATCCGTACATTTTATGTAGAAGTATCGCCGATTCATAAAATCGCACCTGTTCCCAGGAACATTAAACTCTTCAGTAAATTCAACCGTACGCAAAAAAAGAAAATGAAATAGAAAGAAAATAAAGTCACAGAAAACATCAGCCGACATTAACTTGCCTGTGTCTGTTTCAAAAATTTTTGCCATGTACACCTGCGATCTCACGGGTATAGATTCGTAGTGAGACGCGCATATCTTGACGTTAAACTGCTAGCCTTATCATCCTGTCAATCTTCACAATAACCTACCAATTGACAATACCCACCCTTTTCTTCAGCATACATTACTGAAGGTTGATATTTCTTGAGAGGACTACATTTCTTTGACTTTCCTTGTCCAAGTTAATGTTTATACTGTTAATTTCGCATAAATAAAATTATAATACTGACCAATAACACTGGCTCGTTTGGAAAAACGTATATGTTGAAATTCTAACAAGAATGATAAATTATGCTATTGCAGTATATCGTAAAGAAAATAAACGATTACCAAAAGATTTAAACTTATCAAATTGGCAAAAAAACAAAAAAAACACTGTGTAGCGCTGCGGAACTAATCAAAAGAGTTTGGCCTGCGCAACATAACTGTGTTACGTGTCTAAATTTTCATCCTCATTTATGTGTGTGTGTGTGTGTGTGTGTTCACCCTGTACAAGGCTTGGGGACCACTCAAGGTAGAGAGTTACATAGTAAGAGGCATAGCTTATGCGGATAGGTGTAGAAGATAACGGTCAAGCCAAGACTTGAACAGGTTAAGATTGTAGTGATCAGGGAAGCAACCTCTTGGGAGTCGGTTCCACAAGGCAGTGGTTCGAGGGAAGAAGCTGAGTGGAACATAGATCTCACCGGGGTAATATGAAAAGAAGGAGGGTGGTGAGCTAAAATGCGTGGTGTGTCTTTGATTGTATTAGTGTAGCGGTATATCAACATCTATGGGTTATTTATGACGAAATATAAATATTTTATACGCAATTTTATGCCTTGAACTACATGAACGCAGTTTTATGCCTTTATAGATATTTTGTACATTATCCTGAAAGTATATAATTATGTTTTAGAGATATATGTATTTTTCCGTGCCCATGTCTCTACTGAATGTGACACAAGGTCATTTTAAAGAGCCTTTAACTGCAAAACCGTTGAAAAATTGTTCAAGTTCCCTCGGTATTTCCCCTTTTAGGCAGGCCGACTATTCCATTATTTTTGAATAGTTATCTCCTGTTGCTTTTCTTGTCTTGAAGGGGTGAAGTGCGTACATTCAGATAAAATCTGTTTTACCGTGAGTGCAGCTTGGTATGTTTTACATGTTGGTTGATCTTGATTCTTCAGCAAGTATCCAGTTCTCTTTAAAACACTTGCTAAATATTTGT